GACTCTGATTAGACGGGACTCTGATTAGACGGGACTCTGATTAGACGGGACTCTGATTAGACGGGACTCTGATTAGACGGGACTCTGATTAGATGGGACTCTCACTATTTGGTTGATGACTTTGAGCTCCAGTCAACGTTTTGCAGGTTCTTCCATTGTCTGTCCTTTCACGTACAAAGTCCGAAAGAGGCACCGAGTCGACAGTGTTGTCAGTAATCTGAAAATCGAAAGCCCCCCCTGTTGTCACACGGATTAGGTCAAGCAAGGATTAGAAGCCCTTTGTTACACAAGGAGATCACGAGAACTATGGGGCACACTAGGCACGGGCCGTTCCTTTCATGTATATAAGATGGTCTCCCCTCGCCTTCTGGCTTGGAGGAACCAAGGACCTTTGATATCCTACAAGATTATCATTGAATTGAGCCCTTTTGCTTCAAGCCCTCTAACGAGCCCTTGTCACACACATGCTCATAGCCTTGGACTATCTTTCATCGGAAGGCGTTATCCATCGAGACGTTAAGCCGCAGAATATTTTTGACATGACTGGATCCAGTTCCCAACCCGGATATCGATTCCAACTAGACGACTTTGGACTGTGTAATGAAGCCACGATCGCCGTTTCGACCTCCGGCTCACCGCCTTTTATGGCCCCGGAAGTCTCTGAAAACAATACTCTGCAGACCCCCAAGGTTGATTTTTAGTCGCTCTTTGTCACTATTATCTAGATACTAGACATCCAAGGCTATCGCAAAAACGGTTTTCGACCACCGCAAGAGAACTTAGACGCTATTCTCCGCGTAGCCGAGACCGAGAAAATGTGTGATATCAAAGAGATGGCTAGGCTGAGACCAGATGAGCGTGCTTTCGCAGCGCAAATGCTTTCAAAACTTTACGATGGCGATGGACTCACTACCTGTGAAAATCAGATCTAGCCTCTTAGCGGCCCTGCCCCTGAAAAGAAACCTTATATTTTTTAAGGTAAAAAGTTTAAAAATATATTATGTTGAGGGTGGTCACGTGATAAGGGTTTAGCCTCGCGCGATGCTTATAGTATCGCATATTCCTAGCTTGTTAGCCTTATTACTAGTAGAGTTAAGATAGTTTAATGTAATTACTATTTTATTAGCCTTACCTTTCTTTATAGGTTATAAGCTCTTTTACTCTTAAAGTATTATTATAAACCTTCTAGTAACTCTTTTTATTTTTATCTTTTAAAAATAATTAACTTCTTTATTAAGTTTAACTAAAATTTTCTATTTATAACTTAATAAGCTATTATTTTTAATACGTTTTTTACGCTTATTATCTATTATAAGAGCGTTATTATTTACTAAAATTCTAGTTATTAAGTAATAATTATAAATTTCTATTATAATTAAGCTAATATTACTTAAGCTTTTAATTAACTTATTAATAATTAATGCTTTAACTATAAAGAATATATTACGTAAATAGCTTATCTTAAAAGGGTAATTAAATCTATTAGTTTATCTCTTATTAGCTATAATTAGCGTTTTATTTACGCTTATAATATTATTTTATTAGAATTTCCTTTTATTTTTCTTAACCTTATTACTTATTATTAGCTTTTTAAATAATCTCTTAATAATTTTAATAAGCTTATTTTAATTAAGAATCTTTTTTTATTAGTTTTATTATACTATTAATTACTTTTATTTTTTACTTAATTATACTCTTATCTTTTATACTTTAATAATT